GCTGGAGCAGTCGGATTTGGCCCACCCCCCTGACCCACCGTGTGGGCTTTGATTTGGCCTTGTGGCTACCATGAGTTTAGCGGAGTTAGTTGGATATTTTCATGTATAAATTGCCCTTGTTTAGTTATTAAAAGTCATGTCTTATTTCTTTACAAAATATCACTCATCATATCTCATTCCTACAAAGTTCGTCTAACATCCTAGCTCCAACACTACTACAATTCTACTCAATTATCCATTTTATCCCATTATTTTATGCGAGCTAATTTTATCCGTTTAGAGCTCGGGTCATTTAGTTCTATCATTAGTGCTTTCATTGAGAGCTCGACGTCCAAGCTCGAGTGTGCTTTTCATTTTTTCAGTCTACGACCATCCTAATAGCGAAGTCCCACTCTTGCAACTCTCGCAATTCCTGCGACACTACCCTCCCCCCTATTTGACAATAGCGACGCTCCAAGTCGAAAAATCGTGCTAATAGGCTCGGGGGAGGACCTGGGGGATCGTTTGTCCAACCAAAGAGCGGGAGATACGACCCCAGGCACCATGTCCTACCAACACCGGGGCCTAGGGATCGTAGTCCAAGTCAGCATGGCAGCCATGCAGCAAGCTACGGTCGCCTTTACCTACCTCGTAGTAGCGATCTAGGGTCAGCGCCACCCCAACAGGGAAGAACCAACGGGAGGGGGGTCCCCAAAAGGGGTTGCTCGGTTGCAACCCACACCAATGCCGGCCCCTCCCCCTACCGATGCCCTGTGCAGGAACCGACCTCGAACCCCATGCTCAGTTGCTCGCCAAAGCCCTGTGGACCCACACCCTCACACTCTGTCGAACGCTCGGGGTAGGCAGCGGAGGTCGGGCCATGTATGATGTACTCGAGACTTAGTACCTGGGTTCATGCTTCTGGGTACAACCATCCTGGTAGCCTTATCTAGGTCCCTAACATCGGGCTCTATGGGGTGCAGTTACGGTGGGAGCTGCCCATTTGCGACCTACGGTGACATCGACCCCACCACTTACTTGACGCCAAAAACACAAGCCATTTTTGAGTCGGAGTGGAAGTTAATTCACCTTGAAAGCCTACCCAGCGGGATGGATGGGTACAAGTAGAGATCACCCGAGGTGTGGAACTCAACATTTAACTCGGGCCAAGTCCGCCTTGGACCAGTTGAGCACCTCGGTGCCCGCCCAGGATCACTTAGAGCCTAATCCGGCGGCATTTTACCCCATTTCAAGGTGAATCCTCCATGAGGCGGTCAGACTGAGTGCCCCAAGCCTCGAGTTGTCGTAAACATGTGTCCCGGGTGGAGAGACTTGGAGAAACCAACGAATGGGCCTTGGGCTTATCAAGCAATGAGGTACTACAAAGGACTAATGGAGCCCAAGCCAGTTTTGTAATTTTTGAACAACTTCTTAATGATTTGTTACTACTACTACTACTACTACTACTATTAATTTTTTTTATTTCACAACTATTTAATGTGTCAAACTGCCAACTTATTCAAATAAAACCAATAATGTGGCAAATTCTACACTGCATCCCGCATAATATGACAAACTTCATGCTACCACTTACATAGTATGGTATGGTGAGCTCTATGTGCTACCAACTATATTGCATGGAAAGCTCCACACTACCACCTAAATTACGTGGTAAGTTTTGTGCTGCCTCCTACAACATGAGCCACAGTGAATAAGTACGCAGTTGGTCACAAGAAAGGGAAATATTTTCATATTTAAACAAATAATAAGATCATGCCCTCTAATCATATGTCATATGATGGAGATATTGAAAATGGCCTAGGAATGCAGACTCAGGGCCCCAAGGTTGGTGATTCAGACCAAGAAGGTGGCTTGAATCCAAGATAGTAGCCCAAGGTGGAGGACCGAGACCCGGATGCGGCTACCCAAATCGAATGGTTGGACCCAAATGTAAGGTGGAGGACCGAGACCCGAAAGCGGCTATCCAAATCGAATGGTTGGACCCAAATGTGGGGACTCAGCTCCTGTCCCAAGTCCAGGCGCTTGACCTCCGCACCCGGTCCCAAATGATCACCTTTCCACCCTTGGAGTCCGCCTCCAGGGCTAAGTTGCGAGGACCCGGCCCGAACCCAAGTCCGGCAGCCCCGAAAAGTCACTTTTCCACCCTCGAAGTCTGTTTCTGGAGCGGAGCGGCCAGATTTGGCCCACCATGTGGGCTTTGACTTTTGGCAACCATGAGTTTAACGGAGTTAGTTGGATATTTCCAGGTATAAATTGGTCTTATTTAGTCAAAAGGTTATGTAGTCTCATTTTGGGATTTGATGTGTACCCTTGCCCCTTGCGTCCAAGAGAGAACCTCTATACTATACAATTCAATAAATTTTAAAAGAGCTGTTGTATAAATAGTGGTGCAAATCCACTTCCCAAACCAATGTGGGAGAAAAGCTTCACTTTTTTCCCTTCATTTTTCCAACTCAATGGGTCTACTTTGAGAATCAATATCTCATTCACCCATTATCTGTTTTGAGCGTACGATATATCAATTTCTTCGTCTCACTACGAAGAACCTGAATCTACTTTGACCTGACCCAAATCAAAAATGGACTCCACTGATAACTGTACCACAAAATAGCCACTTAACATGCCATTTTAAGCTATTTTTTCCAACATATTGTTATTATACTTTAGAGTTTCTGTGAATATACTACTACTAACGTTTTAAATTGAAACAGCTCACTAAAACATTGTTTGGCTATAATGCCAAAGCACAAAACGAAATGTCACGTCTTCCTATAAAGCCATGCAAAGTGGCAAACAACAAAATCAATGATGCAAATTGTTTTTCATACAATAGTCAAACACAAAGACATAATAATGCTATCCAGATTGGCAGCATTTTGTTTATAAGTCTCTTTTGCTGGCTTATTCCTTTGATTAAACCTAATGTGGTCCATAATCAACTAATTAACAAAAGAAATATTATTAGCTGCTCTGTATTAAATCTAATGTGGGCCATAATAATCACAAATTTTGTAGTTGTAATTATGCCTCCAAAAAAATTGATTATGGAAAATTTAGCTTTGTATCCGATCCCTTTAATTTACTTTTATTTGTACATGCACTACTTTAAATTATTTATTCATTTTATAAATTATAATTACTTATTCATGAAGACATTTGATGCAATTATTTATTATTTTTCATTTAGAGAAATGCCTATAATTTTTTTTTTATAGATTATTATGTATGTAAAACTATTAAAAACTTGTAAATCTTATTTCAAGTTATTTGATCTTAGTAGTTTTCTTTATGTAATTTAAATTTTAGGTATGAAAATATATGTTAACTTTAGATGTAGGGCCTATTTTTCTTGTTATGCTTCAAGCCTATAAAATGATAGGATCGAGCTTGGTTATGAATGGTTGTTATCCGAAAACGGTGCCGTTTCTTTAAGTAAAGAAATGATGACCATTAAATTTTAACAAATTTCGTATTTTGTGTGTGTTCAGAACAAAATGAAACTACATTGTATCTAAAATGAAACTGAATAAACGCTCTCGCATATTGTGTTTATATTATCAAATGAAACTGTAATATTATTAAAATGATACTTTAGTTATGTTGAAATGAAATTGCAATATGTATAAAATGAAATTGAATAATATGTTTCACATATTGAGTGTATATTGTACGTCAAATAAAACTGTAGTTGAATTGAAATGATACTTTAGTTTTGTTGAAATGAAATTACAGTATGTATAAAAACAAAATGAATAACATGTCTCACATTGAGTGTATATTGTCAAATGAAACTATAATTATATCAAAATGATACTTTAGTTGTGTTGTAATAAAACTACATTGTATATAATTAAATGAAACTAAATAATAGTTTCACATATTTGTGTATATTGTCTAATGAAATCGTAGTTGAATTAGAATTATAATTTAGTGGCATTGGTGTTGTAATAAGACTACAGTGTGTATAAAATGAAATTCAATAACATGTCTCACTGTAATAAGACTGATGTATGTATAATGTCAAATGAAATTGTAGTTGAAACAAAATGAAACTTTAGTTGTGCTGAAATGAAACTACAATGTATATAAAATAATGAAACTGAATATGTTTAACAAACAGAACTAATTACACGGAAGGGGTACATGGTCCAAAACGGTGTCGTTTCTTTTAATGAAAAGAAATTACACCCATTCTGTGTAATTAATTATGTTTATGTAACATCTTCAGTTTCATTTTAAATAATTGTAGTTTCATTTCAGCACAGCTAAAGTTCTATTTTGTTTCAACTACAATTTCATTTGACATTATACATATAGTACGTAGTCTTATTACATTGAGACCTCTTATTGCATTTCATTTTATACATACTGTAGTCTTATTACAACATCACTAAATTATAATTTTAATTCAACTTCGGTTTCATTGGACAATATACATTCAAATATGTGAAACTGTTATTCAGTTTCATTTTATATACACTGTAGTTTTATTATAACACAATTAAATTATCATTTTGATATAACTACAGTTTCATTTGACAATATACATTAAATATGTGAGACATGTTATTTAGTTTCTCTTTATACATATTGTAATTTCATTTTAACACAACTAAAGTATCATTTAATATCCTTTCAAAAAAAGTATCATTTCAATTTAATTACATGTTTATTTGATAATATAAACACAATATATAAGACAAGTTTTCAGTTTCATTTTAGATACACTGTAATTTCATTTTGTTCTAGACACATAAAAAATATGAGATTTATTAAATATAACGGTCTCTGTTTCTTTACTTAAGAAAAAGACACTATTTTCGGACCATACTCCACGCATCCGTATAACAATTGCATCCTTATTTTCCATGATGGACCTATACTTGTGTTAAAAGTTAAAACACTTTAAAGTGAGACTTTTTTTTTTTTTTTTTTTTTTTTTTTTTAATGGAACAAAATATAATTACATAATAAAAAGAAAAGAAAAAAAGATGATGAAATCAAAAGTCAAAATTTCACCTGCCATTGACCAGCCTGGGAAACGTGGTCAGATATTCACGGAAACCCACGCTCCAGTTTTCAACGCCGCGCAGAGAGTAGAAACTACAGAAAGTTTTGGAAAAGCGATGTGTATTCTGTAGAGAGAGAGAGAGAAGATAATCGGAAGAGATAATGCGAAGCATATTATCGCGCAGTTGATTTTGTGATTCGGACCGACCTCGTTTTCCACTGCAACTACTCCTGTTGTGCCGCAGGGAAGAAGGTGGAATCTGGGTTTGGCTGGGATTCGGGGGGGTTGGAGGCATGGGTAACCGATTTATATGCATGACGAAGAAGGATTCCCGGGAGAATGGACGGAGCAATAGCTTAGTCGGGTCGCGGAGCAAGCGGGTGGAGAGATCGAAGCGGAGGTCGGTTATGGAGGAAGAGCTGCTCCACAGGCAAGCCCTGTCTATGGCAATTCAGCAGCACCAGTTATCCCAGAGATTCGAAGGCTCTATGTCCCGCCGGATTGGATCCACCAGCTCTCGCCGCCGCAACGATCTATCCGAGTCTTTTCCTGCTTCCAACAAGCAGGTACTCTACAATTTTATCCACTATTTAGCTCTCCTCTCCGTATGCGCGTATGTATATATAGTATATGTGTTGATTAAATTAGTGGAATTTAATTTATTTTTTTAAAAAATTTTCTGTTAGTTTGCTTTTTGTGGATTAAATTAGTGGGATCTGAGATTAAAATGGTGTTTGTAATGATGAGAAAAGAGAAAAGTGAGGTGCAGTTTCAGCATATTGATTAAGATATTATGCGCATGATGATTCTGATCATTTAGATTCTCGTTATCATTTAGATTCTCGTTAGTGGGACAAGTGAAAAGTGGAAAAGTAGGAAGATGCACTTTTAGTTGAAAAGTAAGGATTGAAGTGCCCACTATTCCAAATTATGGAAAGAAACAGAAAAAACATGAAATTTCCTTTTCATTCAGAATACTTATATTTATGGTAATTGTTTAGATTATGACTGTCTAGTTAAGCTGCCTGTCTGGTGGCAATTCTTGTTTATTTCTTCTGCAATGGATGTCAATGAACTTCTGTAGAAGCAGTTTGGACCACCAAAGAAAACTGTAAGCTTATCGAGATTCAAGAAAGACCAAATAGTCTTTCACAAAATACTTTTATTGAGGAAAGTTGGAGCCAAGTACCATTTGTGCTAGGAATAAAAAATAAAATCAATGCCCTTCACTTCTCTGCTTCTTTTAGTTTAGGCAAGTAAAAGTAGGACCAGTGGACCACTAGTAAGTACTTCTGAGTTCTGTGCAGTTTGTCTGCACAAGTTCGACTATTTTTGCTTGACATATTCCTCACGATTATTGGTTGTCCCAATTCTTCTTAGCATTTAAGTAATTCTATGAAAATATTTAAGCAATACATTGCTACTCCATTAAACATGGTTGCATTTAACTCAGGGCCTATGGAAGATTTATAGGTGCTTAATTAATTGCTTATTCATTATCATCTTCAATAGCTTTCCACCATATACCAATATAAGTACAATTGTTTTTTATTCCATTGATAGTTATCACTTCCCTAAGAAGCTTCTCTCTTTTAATTCCTGACTTAATAATGTCTGTAAAGGAATATCGCTATATTAATTGTCTAACAGTAGAAAGAGTCAGTATATTTAGGTTTTCCTCATATTTAATGCACAAAGGATGTGATTTCATGATTTGTTTAGGTTAATATCAAAATCAATGATAAATTTTGGAATACTTCCTGTGCATAATATGCCCTGCTTTTCTCACTAGTATGATATCTTCTTTTATAGATTTCATGAATGTAAGTGTAATGGAAATAGAACACCATATGAAATATGTGTGTAAATAGATTCAAATGAAATCAAAAAGGAAGAAAAGAAGACAGAAAAAGAATTCATACATCGAATTAGCCGGAAATGTTGAAAGTGCAATAGTTATCAAATTAATCCCAAATTTTTTAGTGCAATGAAATTAAGCCCATTAGTTACTCATCTTTTTGGACAATTGTAAAATGAATTATTGTGGCTTTGTTTATCTAATCAATTATGCCTTGTGTAGTTGCCAGAATTTTTGGAGAACATAAAAACAAAGAGGGTTGTTTTGATACACGGAGAAGGATTTGGAGCATGGTGTTGGTATAAAACTATTGCTTTATTGGAGGAGTCGGGATTGCTTCCTATTAGTTTTGACCTTAAAGGATCTGGCATTGATCAGACCGATACAAACAATGTTACAACATTGGAAGAATACTCAACACCATTGCTTGATTATCTCAAAAACTTACCAGAGGATGAAAAGGTTCTAAACTTTTGCTAGATCATTATTTCAGTGTTCCGTTTTCATCATAACATGTCGTGACCGAAGTCATCTCTGGCTGCTATTGTGAAATAAGTGTTATGACATGGTGAATAAGTATCATGATGCATTCATTCTTGTAGGTGATTTTGGTTGGTCATAGTGCTGGAGGTGCTTGTGTTTCCTATGCCTTGGAGCATTTGCCGCAAAAGATTGCAAAAGCAGTCTTCCTTTGTGGTACAATGGTGTCTGATGGGCAGAGACCTTTTGATGTGTTTGCTGAAGAGGTGCACATTTATTACTTCATTATACTTGATCTAGGATTCCTGAATAATGACTAAATGAGTGCTGTGGTCATTAGTGGAAATTCTTCAATGGTTTCTTAGAAATGATAAATGCTTTTCATTAAGTCTCCAGTTCGGTTAAAGAGAGTTGACTCAAACTATCTACAATTCAAAATTTTTTATTAATTAATTTAATAATAATGAATAAAATTTTTATATTTACGAATTACAAAAATAGTTACTCCGTATATTAAACCCTTACAGAAAAGTATATAAATTATATGAAAATGTTAAAGAAACTTTGTGAACAAATAATGGTCTCTGTGACTTTTTTTTGGGTTAGACCGCAAGGTGTTCTGAGCAGGCCCTAACTGTAGGAGGCACCTTTAAGCCTGTACCATATTCAAACTAATCCCCGTTCGCACCGGGCTGGCCCAATTAAGGGGCAAAGTACTGGCCAGATTGGTTTTTTCATACAACAGGGGGTTCGGACTCCCAACCTCTCTTAAGGGACAAGAGTGCACGGCCAATCATGCCAACCAAGCTGGTTCAAATAATGGTTGCCGTGACTTTCAAACAGTAAACATGATACTAGTAAAATAGGACAAAGGGGTACTAGTCTGAGTTTAATATGCCAATACACGTTCCCTTCAAAGTTTTTTTCGTTCTGAATTGATCCCATGACATGCCACCTGCAGCAGAAGATTACACCCATCCATTTATCTTGACCTACCAGTCAAACATTTTAAAGCAACAGTTTTGATTTTATAATAGGAGTCCTTTTTTAGAATCTGTTAGTATCCTTCTCCTGGTTGTTGTCTTTGCCAGTTTAATATCCTTACGAGGAATCTCTTTTGCAGCTTGGGTCTGCAGAACTTTTCATGCAAGAATCCAAGTTTCTAATCCATGGTAATGGTAAAGATAAGCCAGCTACTGGGTTCATGTTTGAGAAGGAGCAGATGGCTGGGTTATATTTCAATCAATCTCCGACAAAGGTACTGTTGTCTTTTACTATTAAGTGCGAGTTAAATTGAAAACATCATGGTGTTATGATATGTAGAAGGGACTATATATCATGAATGCGTAATTTTGTGGTTTCAGGATATTGCTTTGGCAAAGGTTTCAATGAGACCAATCCCTCTTGGTCCAATGATGGAGAAGCTGTGTTTGACCCCCGAAAACTATGGAACCAGTCGGAGATTCTATGTCCAAACATTGGATGATCACGCTCTTTCTCCCGATGTCCAAGAAAAGCTGGTCAGGGAAAACCCTCCAGAAGGAGTCTTCAAGATCAAAGGCAGCGATCATTGCCCGTTCTTCTCAAAGCCACAATCGTTGCATAAAATTTTACTTGAAATTGCTCAGATTCAGTAGTACCTGATGATTTCTTCACAAGAATACATGAAATTGCTTGGGTTCAGTAGGATTTGATAACTTCAGAAGAAATACTGATTCTTTTCCATACAGATAAATAGCTTCATGTATGTACTTGTACCTCTTGTAATCCTGTACAATTATTATACAACCCTGTTTGATGGTATATTAGAATTAGGAAAATGGGTCATGCTTCCTAGTTGTGTACTCTTTTTGTGTGGTTCGGGTCAATTCTAGCATACATAAATCTTTGTAATTATCATGTCAGTATTTATCACACTATGATTTCAAATTAAGGATTTAATCTAATCATTTTTGGCTCACTTATTATTATTATTTTTTATTTTTTTGAAAATATTTTTGGCTCACTTTTTATGGCTTGGAATGACAAAATTGACTCTAAAAATTGAGTCACATCTCATGCAAATGATTATTTATGTTAATCGCACTACAAGAAAAACAGTTTTTAGTGATAAAAAAAATTAGTGTAAAAAAATTCCTCACTAAATGTATGATTTGTATAGTTTTTGTTATGGTTAAAAATTACTATTTATGATTTAGTGACGAATTTCTCACTGTTGATAATAAAGATGTTGATACTCTTGATATCTAAAAACTATTTGACTAAAATTTAATTCTCACCAAAATATTGTTTTTTAGCGCCAATTATTTAACCAAATTTCAAGTATTGAGTACCGTAGAGTTTATCCTCAAGTCTCATTCGCCTTCTCCGCCCAAAATGTTCGGAGCTCAGCCGTCCTCCTCCGCCTTCGCCACTCCCTCATCCACCCCAACCTTCGGAACCCCTTCATCCACTCCTGGCTTCGGCACACCTTCTACTCCGGCATTCGGAACCTCCCTCTTCTCCACTCTGTTTTCTCAACAGGCACAACCCCAGCAGCAAGGTTCATTGTTTTAGACTCCCTAGAGCTCCAGCGCATTAAGCTTTTCGACGCCGCTTGGGGCCACACAGCCACAACAGAATCTATCAGCTTCACCGTTCACTCAGACTACATTACCCTTAGCAAATGCTCAATTAACCACTCAAATGGTTCCTGTAGCTCCTCTATCCTTTTCTCTTGCCGATCAAGATATTTTTGAAATTTTGTATGAACCCTAATTTTGGCAATTTGGAGCTATGCATTCTCGCATATTCGGATTTGTGTAGCCTGAACATCTCTCTTGCTTCTAAATAGGTAGTTGGCTTAATAAAGAGATATGGTTGTTACTTCACAGACAAATTTATGGAATACAACCTCTTTTAATCATTTGTTCTCATTATGTTTTTATTGGGAGACTTGCCTTCTAAACATGAAGAAACTAGAGCTTTGTAATTGATGCATACACAACTTTCTGAACTTGTTTTTATAATTTGTGTGAGGGGTGAGAGGGTGGAGAGGTGACATCCTAAAAAATAAAAATACTATCATTGTCCAATGAGCAGTAACTGTATAACAACATAAAAGGGTGACAGATAAACTTCTTTTCTGTTTCTATTTAAAATTTTTGAAGCTATCTATTCTTATAGAGTGTAAATCACAAATTATATCTTTGAGAGACAGCAGATGACTTGCAACCCTTTCTTTTGTTTTGCATATCATTTAGAAGCTCTGTTAGTCATTTAAAACCTTGGTATATTTACATCACAGGGCATTTTCCATTTTACTTCTTCATTTTGGTTCATCATGTTTTGAACTTATTTGTTTAGTTCCGGTTGAATTGTAGAAAGATTCATTGTATTTAACTTAAAAGAACTGTACAAACATCTACTATTTAAATAGGAATATGCTATTAACCTAATGGGCCTATTTCTAAAAGGACTTAGGGTTTCAACACTCCACCTCAAGTTGGAGAGTATAAATCATATGCTCTAAGCTTGTTACAAATATACTCAACCCTAGGAGCTCTAAGGGGTTTTGTCAAAATATCAGCCAATTGATCTGCAGAGTTGACAAAGCTTGTTTTGATACACCCTGACACAATCTTCTCTCTAATAAAGTGACAATCAACCTCAATGTGTTTGACTCTTTCATGATAAACTGGATTTGAGGCGATGTGTAGAGCTGCTTGGTTGTCACATATCAATGTCATTTGAGCAACCTTGCCACATTGCAACTCTTGTAGTAAGTGCTTCAGCCACATAAGCTCACACGTGGCAAGGGCCATGACTCGATATTCAGCTTCAGCATTGGACCTGGAAACAATATCTTGCTTCTTACTTTTCCAAGATATGAGATTACTACCAATGAGTACACAATAACCCGATGTAGAGTGCCGGTCAAAGCAATTGAAATTGGTTGAGAAGCAATTGCACTTGGGAGCCAATTCAAAGGAATTGGGAGTCGATTTCAAAGCAATTGAAATTGAGAGCTAGTTTCACATGGGAATCAATTCAAGTTGGGAACGAATGCATAAATTGGAATTGGGAGCCAATTCAAGTTATAGTATGGGATGTAATTTCAAATTGGGGACCGATTCAAAGAAGACATTGAGATCAAATTTAATTGAGATGAAATTCAATATCAGGAGAAGTCTAGGAGCCAATTTCGAAGTCAAAGTCAAATAATTCAAATTGGGAAGCAATTGAAGCACCAGGAGTAGATTGAGAGTCAATTACAAGTCAAAGTCAATTGGGTGCCAATTACAAGCCAATTGCAATTGGGTGTCAATTACAAAGGAGAAATTCAAATTGGGAGGAAGTTCAAAGCCAGTTTGAAGTCTGAGAACACCCAGACGTGAAAATGAAGAAGATGAATGTAACACCCCAGATTTTCAAGTCTTTTAAAACTTATATAATAAAGGTAGAGTCTCATTAAATTCCAAAATACGATATGAAGAGTACGGGGTGCTATGCCACACCCGAGCTAGAGAACTCAGGTGCATAGGCTAAATTCTAAAACCTCAATCAGTATCAATACAAAATCATGGCACGCAGGCCGAAAGGGAAAACTATCTAATCTACGCCCCAAGCTTCTAGCGCGCTCCAGTGATCTACTCGTCTGTGCCTAAAAGCCAAATATATCTGTTCAGCGAGAGATGCTGGTAACCCACTCCAACGCGTTGAAATATAATACATATAGATATATACATAGTTATACGAAAAACCATTTCGAAGCATGAAGATATATCCTAAGAGACTCTAGCTTTCAAAACAGGGAATAAACTCAACAGATAGAGCTTAGCATAGACAACGGTCATAATCAAGCATATACAATTCATAAGCATAGGGAAACAGGCAAGACAGATAAAGATAAACACAGTTAATATCAATAATCCAACATGTACGATTCTCGGCATAAATCCCAAAGTCACATCCCAAGACACTCATAACAACGACTCATCCATATCTCATCACATAGCACACTTTATTGGCGCCACAGGACCAATCGCATGCCCATATATGAGGGTCAGCGCATATAGCTCTGACACGGCCCCGCAGCACCCTGCCCCGTATCGCAACACGGAAGGGTCGATCGCAACCGACCGATGAACCGCAGCTCATCATAGTTTGATCGCAACCAAACAGTAGACCGCAGCCCAAGAGTATGTCATCTGACCGCAGCCAGGAAATATGAACCGCAGCTCATGTAGAAACGTTTGATCGCAACCAAACGGTGGACCGCAGCCCTATATAATATTTATATACCTGACCGATCGCAACCGGCCTGGTTAACAGTCAGTATGGTTCTCAACCCATCCAACTGCCCGTATAGCCAATTTGATCGCAACCAAATTGGGGTATCATGCACACATAACACATAGCAAGCACATGCAACCCACAGTAACACATTGGGAAGGGGGAGAAACGTATAACAAAATCTATGCGTGATCCTTCACATACTAAGAATAATCCTAGGGGTTTATACTTCTTTCACCTAGGTCAACGGGATACCAATTCAACTAGCATGCAATATATAAGACTCATACGACCTACGAACGGTACCCGAAATATCAAACTAGACATAGGCACGATAGACGGAGTCCGTTGGGACACCACAGGGGGTCGGGGGAACATCAAACGGGGAAGCCAAAATCCCGAATTGGGGTGCAAACTAGAGGGTAGCCGGTGGTTGAGGATTCACCCGCCGGCTGCCCGCCGGCGGCAACTATTTCGGGCAGCGGGTGCCCGGCGGGCAGTTGCCTGCTTGATTACTGTAATTTGGGGCAAACAAATAATACCCGGAGTATTCGGGTTGTCGAACCACAGAGAGGTGGTGTACTAATCACTAGCTACTAGGTTACTCATATGAAACTAGTCCGAACAAAACTTGAAGGTTGATTAATTGCACAAAATAACAAGCAGAATAAAATAAGTAGCAAGGTTTTGTAGACAATAGAGCAAAATAGGATTCTTGGGATCACAATGTTTAATCACCTAGTGCCAATTAACGTTTGTAATATTTTGTTTGGAATTAAGATTTGTGTGGGAATGCAAAGTGGAATCGAATTACTCCCGTAATCTCTATTCCTAGTGAATTTCCACTCCCATGGCTTAAACACCCAATAAGATCAAAGATCAGCATTCAATTATTCCTAATTACTACCATCTCCCGATGAGCAATAATCTAGAATAAACTTCCCCTAATTAGTTCCCCTTTCCCAAGGACCAACCATTAGGTGCAATCGTGTGTGCCCTAATTTATGCCCCAACTCCCATTGGTGACACAAACATGACTGTGAAGCTAGTAATTTAGGCCTTTAACCACCAACAACAACAGATTAAAACAAGATTGCAACACAAATCATAAAACCAAACATAAATATATTAAGAAATTAACGAACTAGGCACATAGGTTCATAGACAAATTCACCCAAAAATCCCTAAGGAATTTAGCCGAGCATGGCTAAATTATACATAGCAAATATGAATAAAGGATTACAAATCATCAGAAGAGTACAAGAATTAACCAAGCGATTCTCCCAAATCTCCCTGGCTTCCTCCTTGCTTCCAAAGACGACTTGAGCCTCTTGATTTCTCTCTTTCTTGTCTACAAAGAACTCTAAAAATCTCTCGGTGTGTTTTTTTAGGGTTGAGGAAGGAGGGATTTTATAGTAGGTATAACGTTGAGACGAAATAGGAATCTGGTACAAAATTGGACTCAAATATCTCGCGACTTCGTGCTGCGCCCGACGCGTCGAGCCAATTCTCCACGCGTCGAGACCTGCTGCGCCCGACGCGTCGAGCCAATTCTCCACGCGTCGAGACC